GCTCCCTATAAGATGAATACCCTTTGTTTCTCCTGGACCCTGCTTCTCCCACCATTGTCATACAATCAATCATGTTTTGCACTACTATTAAATAAATAGCTAGAGGGCTTCTCACTCCCTGAGCAGAGCCTTGCCTTGAAAACCTGCAAGGCCTTGCCTGGCAAACCTGCTTCACGACTTGTGGGAGGTACACTTCCCTGGGGAAGTGCTGGCGAGTCTTTAACCACCAGATAAATCCATGTCTTGAACAAATACCAAGAACTGATATATTTTATTTTTGATTCTCTACACAAGTAAATATTTATTGGGCACATTTTGATTTGATTTTTAAAATATTTTTACTGAGGTGATGTTGGTTTATATTGTTTATATTTTAGAACCATAGGATATCTCTGCCGCCCTTTTAGGGTCTATTTTATAAGACCCATACTAGGCATTCTCTTAGCCTTGGGTCTACTGATAACTCAGTCTCCCATTCTAGACTTTCTTTTGGCATCTATAGATTTACTTCAGCAGCTTCAGTGGCATTAAATAAAACTTGACTCTTTCAGAAGACTTCCCCCATTTCCCCTTTAAGTTTTCAAGTTCCATGAGGAGTCACAGAATGTTACAGAAAGAAGAGGGAACTTGAAATGATGCCAAAATTACAGTGTCTGGCCTGGATCTAGTCATCTGTCTCATTTGTTCCTGCTATAGCTCTAAATGTTGGCATGTCTGATTCTTCTCAAGCAAGGGTTTCTGCAATCTTTTCAGCTGCTTCCACATGGTGCTGTCACAATTAGAATATTGAAATCATGCTCCATACTCACTGACTTTTACTGCATGACCTTCTCCTCAAAGCCTGACTTCATTTGATTCTCAGTAAGCCTTTCTCTCCCTTTTTCAACTATGTGGCACTCAGCATCCTAGGTCTCAGCCAGTCTTAATATCGACCTCTCTACTTGAGCTACCATTCCATTGACTTCCTCACTCTCCCTTGTTCATATCGTGAACTCAGTATGCTAGATTTATCCCCCACCCCCAGAATGGCCTCCTTCTTGCCCTCTCTTTATTTTCTGATTCATGAGCCAAGAAAGAGCCCACCTTCTTGGACTTGGGCTTCTCCACTACCTATACTCTCTACATTAACAATGGGACTCTGCCCCTGTTTTAAGAACAGCTTTCCTGCAATGTAATCTGGGACCATTCCCAATCATCAGCACAGATATCAAAGGCACCAATACACTAGTTCTTCATTCAGCTCCAAGTGGGTCCAGTAGCTGGTTTCATTCTGTACCTGAGATTCCAGTCTCCTACCTGTCCCCAGTTCTTGGCTTGGTTTTTTAACCTTTTCTTCCAGATCTCCCTAATACCCACATGAACACATCTCAAACTTTGACAGGCACATGCAGGTCTGGGGATCTTTTTTTAAGATTTTGTTTATTTATGTATACAGAGCTCAGGTACAGGCCAGAGGTACAGGGGCAGCGAGAGGATTCACCAGAGACAAAGGGGGGAGCAGAATAGGCAGATTGACAAGGTACACTGCTGAGGGGGGCAGTGGGGAGACAGGAGAGGTCTGCTGCGCCATGTGGGTCAGCTCCCTGGCAGGGATTGAACTTGTGCTTCAGTGGCTGTGGACAGCTTCATAATGCTGTGCTTTAACCCATTGTGCCACCAGGGAAGGCCTATGCCTGGAGATTTTGATAGAATTCCAGAGTATGACTCAGGAGGTCTGAGCTGGGCCTAGAGTCTGTATTTCTAACAACATTTGAGGTGATGCCTATGTTGCTGCATCAAGGACCACACTTAGGCAGCAAGAGCCCATAGCAACCGTCTCCCAAATATGCACCTTCTCCTCCTTGACAAACACAAGTGGGAACAATGTCTCGGCCCTGACACATAAAGGGTGCTGAGTTGCATTCCAAGCTTATTCGGAAACTGGAGTCTCTGAGGACAGGGACTTTGTATTGTATTTGTTTCATGTCATTTTTTATTACTCAGAGACATCTCATGCTCACCACTAAGTAAAAAACTAAGCGAGTGTGTTTGAATATATTTGGTGAGCTGCTGGAAGGAGACATAGGAAAGAGTCATTATAGCCAATTAATTGAATGACATCAAAATTCTCTAATTAGATTTTGAAGACCTCCTAACTCCCAGAAAATACTAAGTGCTTAACCTTAACGTATCTTCCCTCCTCCAAGACCTTTAGAACAGTCTCTATAGTGCCATGCAGCACACTCTGCTAACACCAACCACAAGGCTGGAGCATGTATCAGTATCAGCTTCACTGACATGGGAAGAACTGTCCTGGTCCATTTGGATTTAAGAAGTGAAGCTGACTCAACACACAGGAGTGTTCAAAGAAATGGAGAGAAAAATAGCCAGGAATCTTCTTTATACAGGGCCTCCGGACCAAACTTCTAAACAAGAAAACAAGATCCATCACGGTCTTACCCAAACCTGTCTCTAGCTGCATCTCAAACTGTCCTTCCCCACCCCGCCCTTGACTAGGGGTGACCTATCTGGACTGGCAGCTGTCCCCTGCTCAGTGCCATGCTGCTCTTTCCTCTCCACTTTCTTCCTACATACATGCTATTTTCTCTGTTCAAATGCTCCTACCAATCACTTAGCCGTTAAGATCAAATGTCGTCTTCTCTGAAGGAAAGATAATTGCTTCATGCTGGGAGGAGGATGGGATCTAAACTGCTGGCCCCCCCCCCTTTTTTTTTTAAACTAGAGATTATTTCTATTTAAATGATACTCAAGGAACTTGCAGAAGGTTCAGAGACCCAAAGATAACCAGGTTTAATATATGATAGACGGGTACTATCTGATGATACCAGTATCCTCAGGATAAATCTAGACAGTTGGATGACTTGTTAATTCTTCTGATCTGTAAGTTGTGATTTTCTCTGCATCTTGACATAATTCATGAAAGATTAACCCCTCACTGATGACAACAAAACCAATGCCAAAAGCAATTATTATCATTGAGATGAAGACAAATACTCAGTGAAGAAAATCACAGCAACTATGAGAATCAAAATCATTAATTGACTATAGAACAACAGAAATATTTGCAAGAGCCAAGTGAAAACCCTTCATGTAAGATGTGGTATATACACACAGTGGATTACTACTCAGCAATCAAAAAGATGATGCAAATGTCATTTGCAGCAGTGAGTGGAGCTGGAAGTGAAATAAGCCAGATGGGAAGCTTAAAACTTAAGATAACTCATAACTTGCCTCTGTGACTTGCCAACATAATAAATGAGGTAGCCAAGATTTAAGCACAGAGCTCAAGTAGGGGATTACCAAGTGATACTGCTAGCCACTAGTCGACTCCACTGGGCTCAATGAGCAATTAATTCATTATGGTGGTAGTACTCACCCCCATGCGAAGCTCACCCCTACCGAAGCATACAGCATCAACTCTACTGCTGGTGGAGAGGAGCACAGTCCTTTATGTTTATGGAAGGAGCATGGCAGCCATCCTAGTGTGTAAACTGCCTCTGGAAATTTCCATGACAACACATTTGGAGGCTTTCTTGGCAAGCCCTGGCATGGTGATACTTGTGAGCTGCTGTATTCCTTATGGATCCTGACCCACCCACCTTCATTGCAATGCCTTTTTGTAACTAGCTTCCTGTGATGTACCTGGAAGAGCTGACTCCACAGGAGTTCTAAGCTCAATTCTAATAGTGCTTCCTCAATAAAACCTTCCCACCATCCTGTTATCTCTATTATTTCATCCTACACCCTGATACCTTGATATTCTATCTTTTACTCTTACAATTCATCTCCCATCCAGACTTAAGAGGAGATTTGCCATAAAATGAGGCAAGTGTCCATTGTAAATTGCAAATAGCGACACCAAAATGCCAGCCCATATGATTTTTAGATCCAATGAGAAAAAAAACCTGTTTTCTGGAAAAGATGACTGATCTTCAAGAGTTAAGATTATGGCTGGCTCCTGCTTTACTTTCTCCTTGGTGAACGGAGCAAAATGGCCTGGCAAATCTACAGGAACATCATGTGTGTATTTCTGCTCCTGGTTTTCCCAGCTGTCAGTTACAGAAGCTTGAGGCACGTGTCCTGTGCCTGCTTCTCCCTAGTAGCAGTCCCCTCCAAAGGGGCAGTGGGACACCCTGTATATCTGTGAGAATTTCACGCTGAGAGGGCAACCCTACCATCTGATTGCAACCTTGATTTGCCATTCAAATGGATCGGAAAAGATGAGGGAATGGGGAGTCCCATCTGGGTCCGTGGGCATAATATGGGGAGGATTGGGAATGCCTTCACAGGGTGCAGGCATCACTTGTTAAATAATTCAAAGGTGCTACATCTTGAAGACAAAGTCTGTTAAGCTGCACAGATGTCGGAACTGCAGCCGCTGGTCATTCCTGAGGAGAGCAGGAGACTGGGCAGTGATAGAAGCGTCCAGCAGGGGGCTGGCATTCTCTGTCTATAAGTAGCCCCGGTTCCTCCTCACAGCCTCAGCTCAGCGGAGCTGCAGTTTGCTGGGGAAGCTGGTGACGTGCAAAGCGTCCTGCCTATAGGATTTGAGGCTTACTCAGTGCAGTTTTTTTCTACCCACTTTAAACCTTCAGGTTCTAAATGTCAGGAAAGACAGAAAATGCCGTGTGAAAATAGCAAGTCAAAAGTTCTTAGTTCTTAGTTCAAAAGCAGTCTGGGGGACTCAGGCTAGAGTAGAGGTAGAAAGAATCAATAGAGAGTGAGTTTGATTCTAAGCCTTTGGGGGCTAAGCTGTCAACTTGTGAATTTGGAGATGAGCTGACTGGCCATTGAAGACCAGGACAACACAGCATCGAAGCCGTGACAGTGTTACATGCCACAGTGTCTGTGGACTCGGAGCTTTTTGTAAAAGAAGATGAAAGCAAGATTTTGATGAAAAAAGAAGCCAGCCTTGGTTTTTCTCATCTTCACCCATTTGAAAAGTCAAAAGTTAAGAAAGAGCACCTAAAGGCGCTTTTCTGGTGGGGTAGGGTCTAGAGGATGGCTGGAAATGACTCTTTTCCAAACTTGAAGGAGAACCACTGGGTGTCCTACAACGACTCCAGTCCTGGCGGGGAGCCCCCCATGAGTGACGACTGGTTCCACCTGGGGGTCCTCTATGTCATCCCTGCGGTGTATGGGCTCATCATTCTAATCGGCCTCATTGGCAACATCACCCTGATCAAGATCTTCTGCACTGTGAAGTCCATGCGAAATGTGCCCAACCTGTTCATCTCCAGCCTGGCATTGGGAGACCTGCTCCTCTTGGTGACATGTGCCCCAGTGGATGCCAGCAGGTACCTGGCTGACAGGTGGCTGTTTGGCAGGATTGGGTGCAAACTGATCCCCTTTATTCAGCTTACCTCCGTGGGGGTGTCTGTCTTCACGCTCACGGCTCTCTCAGCAGACCGGTAAGTCCTGCTTCAAAGTTGCCTTCTCTGAGGGTGGTGGGTGCCGAGCTATACAACGGGCCAGCATAGCTGTTGGCTCAGAGGGAATCTCACTCAAACGCAGCTTCCCCTGCAGGCACGATTATGCTCTGGGGATGACTTCTTGGGTTGACAAGTTAGTTTAAGAGGGGGAGATTGTCCACAACAGAAGGAGACAGTGAGAAGAGAATCATCTCTGGAAACCTGAGATTAAGGTGCATTTTCTGGAGACAATCACATTAACATGGCCTTTCTCTAACTTCTCCCTCCCTGAAAAATGAATTGACCGGTGAGGAAAACAATGACCCCGAGAGTTTAAACTCTGGGCAAAAGCTTCTTAGAAAGAAATCAAAACCTTCAGACAGCAAAGTCCCGTTGTATTTCTTCTGCAAAATATCCTTTCAGAATCACTGAGAGGGGAAAATAGGCAGCTTTTCCTTGAAATTCATTTTCCTCAGACAGTTTAACTTTTGTCACAGCTGATTTTGTATTTGGCTTTCTGTCACTGAACAGTTTGTATGTTGGTTTTTCTAAGTATCTCAAGTGAAATCTAGCCTTATTTGCTGTTTTATTTCCCCCCTTAAGAAAGCTCTATTCAAGGTTGATTTCTGATTTCAGTGTTTTTCTGATGTACTTCCACATACGTTGTCTGTGGGGGGACTGCTTTAGGGGCAGCGGGAAAGGAGGGAGCCTGGTACAATGTTTTATTCTGGGAAATGCACAAATTAGTGAAATGCATTTCTTGTGTGACTGTTTTGAGGAGAAATTCACATCTATTCACTCTTAAAAACCTTTATCAAGCATCTGTCAAGTAAAAGCCACTTGCTGAATCAGTCAGCCAGGAAATATCTGCAGGTTGTTCACAAACCACTGAGCGAGTCTTCTGTTCCTCTGAGCTCTAGAAACTGAATACAGTAATGACTAGGGTCTCAGACACATCACAGGCCATATGATCAAATTAAGAAAAATGTGTGCAATAAACCAGACAATGTAAATTCCTGTTTTAAAACCAACTGGTTGTTATGCTGTTAAAGATATGTCAGAATTTCAGCGTGTACCCAGAAAGGCACAGAAGCAGCTCTTGAAAGTTAATACTCTGAAGAAAATGGCCCACATTTTAATACACCTGGTGTTGGATTCTCATTTTGTAGAAACAAATAGTTCCCAGGTGATCTGGCCTTGTCAAGTAACGGACAAATAATGATAGTGTTTGCAGACATGTGTTTATACTTAGCTGCCTGAAGTATACTGCTTGGCACCCACGGCAAGTTCAAAAACTGAAACAGATGAGCCCAGAAAGGAGGCTCGCACCTTGCCCTCTTGGGAGGGTCTGTCCACTGCCCACCCCACACAGGCCCACACTGGCTGCGCCACAGCCGTCTGATGGTGGGTTCAGGACTGGCCGACTTGGGAGCTGGCAGCGGGCTGTGCTTGTTACCAGTGGCCAGGGGCGCCGGGATGAGAGTAATTTTCCTGATGGGAAGATGAGCCCCATTTCTGGGTTGGTGTGTGTGGCGGTGCAGATGGTGTTTATTGTCTCCCGGGGGTGGGACGTGGACCAGGGAGGAAAGTGAGGGTGCGGGATGTAAGGGTGCATCTGCGGCGAAGTCTCTGGAGCATCAGAATGGGCTCTGGCAAGCGGGTTGCCCCCTTTGGCGGCTCCAGACTGTTCTGTGTAAGCCAAGGGTTACTGCGTGGCCTTCCCAAGTTCAGAAATGAGAGTAAGCTCCATATAACTAACTTGTGTTTTGCTAAGGCTTAACACAAAGCCGATGGATCACCTGAATCACAGGTAGGGCATCTAACCAATTTCAACAGGAATAAGTGTTGAGCTAGTTAAATAAGGTAAGATTATTTATTGATTTCATTTTTTAAGAGCTGTTGGATTCTCAGAACAACTTCCTGAGGTGAGTGTGACAAATATATATATATTCCATATATATAATGCACATACACAAGATTTGTTTCTTTGCTTCTCAACAAGGTATGTGGGGTAGTGAACAAGTGCACAGCTCAGTGTAGGTTTACCTATATCAATAGAACAACACAAGTGCCATGCAGATGGAGATCCAGAGCAGTTCCAGCACCCAGAAGGGTCTTTCCACCTCGTTTCAGTCACCACCCACCCCCGGAGACAGGAAAACAGGTTTAAACAGGGTTCAATCACCAGAGATGGTCTCTGCCTCCTCTAACCTCCTCTAAATGCAGTTACATGTCTGACACTTGTCCTCATGTCTGCGATCGTCACCTCGCTGGTTCGCGTCACCAAGGCCTATGCTTTTCAGTTTGTTTCATTTGCGTTTTATGGAAAACTTTGCTGTCTACGGAAGAATGTTATTCACTCAGATTCGAGGTTTTTTATTTGATACTACACATAAATTACTGAAGCTTTAAAATTCTAGCCAGTCTTATAGCAGGGTCTGTTCTTTTTAAGTTGTTTGTAGCATTTCATTGTATGAACATTCCTCAGTTTACCCATTCTAATAATTGGTGGACAATGGTTGTTTCCAGTTTGAGATTGATCCTAACCTGCTCTGGAAAGTCTTATTCATGTTTTTTGGCAGCATTTGTTTCTTTCTCTTGGGTGTATGCCTGAAAGCGGAAATGTTGGACCATCCGGGGCATATACTCAGTAAATACTGTCAGAGTTTTCCTCAGTGGTCGTCGGTATTGGGTAGATTGGTGGAAGGGTAAAGACGCTTCAAACTGGGTGGCCATCATGATCATTGGGGAGCTTTAAAAATACCCAGATTCTAAGTCTACTGAATTAAGGTTTCTAAGGCTAGGCAGCAAAGGTCGTCCTTCCCTGCACCACCACCCCCCGCCCCCCCACCCCCTATCTTCTAGCAAAACCCAAACTCTTCCAAATTCCCTTCTGAATCCTCCCCTCCCCAGGTGAGGAAGGAGGCCTTTGTTAATATAAAAGTAAATGACGTTTTTCTAGAAAAGTTAATACTGCTGCCACCTTGTCAAAGGAGACTTCAAGGCAATCCCAGAAACCAGCATGTTGGGTTTCAACAGCTGATAAATTGCAGGTTTGCATTCAAGCCCCTTCACAGTGGGCTCCCAGCCCCCTTCTGGCTTTCTTCCCCACGTACATGCACACTGATATCCTCATATACAGTTCTCAGCTCTGCTTCCTTGCCTATGCTGTGTCTGCCCACTCTCCAGAATGCTTTCTCCCTTCTAGCAAGGAGACGCCTCTCCCTCCCCGGGAATGTGGAGGCTGGAGACTGCCATGAGCAGCCCTCCTGTTAGCCTCTGCTGCCATTGCTGCCCATATAGGGAGCCAGACAAAGGCACCTAGCTCTCTGATCTTAGTTGAGTCACCTTTAAAATAAAGAGTGGGGCTGAAGTATCTCTAAGTTCCTTCAAATTTGAAACTCTTGCGATTTTTATCTGTCATCTTGCTTCCCATACAGAATCTGGCTCAAATCCCCCTTAGTTGGAACATTCTAACCCAGATTCTCTGACCCTTTTCTAAACATGAGGCTTATATTATCTCAGGCATGAATTACCTTGTGACATCTTTCATCTTGCTGTTTTCAAGTATTTCACACATTTATATACATATATTTTAGTCTCATATATTCATTGCTTTAACTTTTTTTTTTTTTAAAGATTTATTTATTTGTGCATACAGAACTGGGTACAGGCCAGAGGCTCAGGGGCGGTGAGAGGCTTCGCCAGAGACAGAGGGGGGAGCAGAACAGGCAGATCGACGAAGTACACTGCTGAGGGGAGCAGCGGGCGGGTCAGGAGAGGTCTGCCGCGCCATGTGGTCACCTCCGGGGCAGGCGGGAATCGAACTCATGCGGAGGTGGCTTTAGATTCTCAGTGCTGTGCTTTAGCCCGCTGCGCCACCAGGGAGGGCCTGCTTTAACTTTTTAAGTAGACTATTAAGAATGGTAAAGGAGGAGGTGTCTTAAATATTATTTCTTTCACAGTGCCTCACATGATTTCTTGTACTAAATGGACGATCAATAAATATTGGCTAATTAAAATTATGTTTAATTAATGCATACTATTCTTATTCTTATCACCCTTCCCCCTTTTCTCAATGGAAAACTTACTCTTAAGAATGTATTATGCAGTCAACTGCTTCTTATCTTTTCCTTTCTATTAGGTTCACCTTACTTGGGGAAATGAGAGAAAAGCTATTTTTTATGAATCAGTAAATAGATTCAGAGAATAAATAGATGGGTGGATGGATGGATGGATTGATAGAAGGATGAGTGGATGATTGGGCAGATGGATGGACACAAGGAGGATGGAGGATGGTGGATACATGCGTGCATTATTGCATGGAGGAGGGATGGGCAGATGCATGGATGGGATAATGAGTAGATGGATGGATGGATGGGCAGATAGATGGATAGATGGGTGAATGGTTGGATGGATGGATATATTTATTATATGCTCATCTTTCCTACTAGAGGCCCATTTCTGTGCTTGGTACCTCAGTATTATGTTAATAGAATTTAAAACCTGACTTGGACCCTCGACAGAAGGGTAAGAAGAGTTTGTGTTTTTCTTTCTAGTTTAAAGTTGGATTTAATGTTGATAGCAAGTGTCCCAATTACATTGTTGCTGCTTCAGTATTATTATTTAGTGTTACTTCTGCTGGAATGGAGCTGGCAGAATGGATCCTAAGGACGATCTGTACAGCAATTTCATTGTAACATGATCCTTCTTCGATTCCATGAACTAACTTTCCCACTCCCTTGCCATTATGAATGTATGAAGAAACAGGAAAATGTCACATTTGTGCAAAATTCTTGAAGTACAGATTCTCTGAATTCATTGCAAGAAGTATATCCTATAATGTCATTTCCAGCCTTTCCTAAGACCTAGAGCTGCTTGGTCCAACATGGTAGCCACTACCATATGTAGTTATTTAAATTTGTTTTAAAATAAAACTCAAAATTCATTTCCCTCATCACATCAGTTACATGTCAAACGCTTTGTAGCCACATGTGACT